TACAATTTTCTCGTTTAATTGTAAATTTGTTAACACGCCCATGGGTATTACCTCGATGTATTTAGATCTATTTTTACCATAGGTACATAGGTTGCATTGTCATACTTTTATAAAAGAAATTAAATAAATTTTGGGCGTATTTTCATGATTCGGATATTTTCCGATGTGGTAATTATGGAAATAAGACGATTTAATCCGGAAACTTCAGTATAAATTAAGGAAAGTTAGAATTTTCACAAAAACGCGGAGATTGAATGAAATTTGTAATTTCGATCGGTAGTCTATTTAATAGGGTTTTCTTTCTGCGACTGTTTTACTATACTATACTCGATACTCTACGGACTTTTGGAGCAAAAATGTTCTGAAAAATTGATATCCCAATAACCCATCTTGGTACGGGTTTTCACTGCTATGGTAAACATAAATCCGATCAACTTCGCTGCCTTCAAACGACAGTGGCGGCGACCGTGTGACACAAAATGTCTCTCCTGCGTACCTGAGAACACACTGTTTTTGTATGCAGTTTATTTCCGATAACAGGACAATGTTTTGCTTTTCCCGACGACAAATGTATAAAATTCGTTACGTGTTAACAATGTAATTTTGAACTCTGTCCGTTCCTTCATACCATTGAATTAAAAGTTTTTATTCAATTCCGTAGTGATGCCGCCGAGTCTCGTCTCGAAAATTCGGTGAGACGAGGCTAACCATGAGTCTCGACGAGACTTCTTTGACGGGATTTCGCCGCTGTCCCACAAAGCAGCTGGTCGAACTTAAAATTATAACAATATATTTCTTTTTGTTGATTTCCTTCTCTTTTTTGCAACATGTAGAGACTTGTGATTTTCAGCAAAATTTATATCCTGAGAGTTGATTAAGGATGTGGATAATATTGATGAGCCTTGTCTTGAGGTTTGGTATGCATGGTTTGGTGTATTGAAAGGGTCAGATATAGCAAGTTCACCTTTGTGAACAGGAAGGGAAAAGAGCTGCGCTTCTAGCTTTGCTGTTTCACCTCCCAGTAGTGTTGGCAAAAATTGATCATGCAATGCATTAGTAAGGGGTTCAAAAAATTCTTCTGCATTGCTTATAACACGCAGTAGAAAAGACCATTTAAATTGGGCTGCTTTAGTTAGAGCACTGATGTAGTACTTAAATATCGTAGGTCTTATACAACTGTAACTTTTCTTAAATCCAGGAAGCCTTCGACAGCTTTATTTTATTTTATTGGTGGACAAGATTTCTCAAGAATGTTTGAGAAAGCGGATAGGTCGGTAATCGCCAAATCCGTTTGAATCCCCTTTTCATGTGGACAAGAACCACCAGTGTTTAGTGGCAGTAATTTAGTTTTTTCAGATACAGCATATGATTGTTAATTTTTTGCTAGTTGTTCAAATTCTGTATTACAAAGTAAAACAGTGCTAGGTACCAATTTTGTCTTAAACGTCTATTACTCTACGTACTCGCGCATGTAGTTCACATGAGTCATGCAACTCATTAAACTAATAGGGACGCATGTGTCTTACCTAGTTTTCCTAATCAGAAGCAGGGACTGAAATGGGCCAGGGGAGCAAGTGTCCAGGGAAAAGCATTTCAGCATTAACAGACCGTTATAATTCTTCTACATTAATCTAACTATTGAATGTAATTTGATGCTGATGTACAAGATTTGAGTTACTGTTGCTGTATTCGCTTCAGAAACACTAACTAAACACATATTTTTGAAAAAAGGTTGGCATGTAAGGGATTGTTTTCTATAGCCATGTAGAGAAAATAATAAAATCGTTTACAAAAAAATTGTACCCATTTTTTACCTAGACATGACGGTTTTCAACTCGGTTTTCAACGTATGGCATATCTTCATTAAATGGGCATGAAGAAGATTTTATATAAAGCGTTTTATATAAATCTCTGCTAGTTCTCGCAATAATCGACACCCTGTATATAAATTAATTAAGTAACATTGAATGAAATATAAGATTAAAGCAACTAGTAATCGCAGCTTACAAAAGAAATTACCTAAAATGATCTAAAACGTAGACATTTGATGAACTTTTAACATGTCCAAAAAATGGTGATCGCAATAGCCATCTAGTTTGTGCTATCATGTCAAGCAGTTCATGCTCATTACACAAGAAACTGGAAAAATATGCGTATAAATTTCAAGAGATTACATAGCACCACAACAGGTGACTACCACTACTGCATCAAGCTATTTAATGTATTACCATATAGCTGCTGTAATTTGCAAACTACCCAGTTTAAGACGCTCATAAAAAGGTATTTAGTAAACAAGGCTTTTTACAGCATTGAGGAATTTATCTCTAACGACTTTACTGACCTAGTCAATTAGATGATCTTCTGCATAGCAATTGTATTTGTGATAAATCTAATCTCAGTATAAATGTAATTCATTTTCTGTGATAAAATAGCCTATCATAACATCATTCTTACATCAGTGATATAACCAATGGTGTTATCTGTGTGAGGTATAATCGAGGGGTCTCTCACTGCCCGCAATATGTGTACACATTTTGTTTTTGCACTGTACAGTGTCTAGCAGTGTTCTGCAGTGTGCCGCAGTGTGTCACAGTGCACCTTAGTGCGTCACAGTGTGCCACAGTGCGTCACAGTGCGCCACAGTGCATTGCATATCCCTTATTTCCGTCCACAGTGCCGTTCCGAATGCCGCAGTGTGACGCCATAAATTTATTTTATGATTGTGCGCAATGTGGTCGGTAAATCTTAATTTATAATTAATGTTTCTAAACCAATAATAATTAAAAAAAAATAAAGCTGGGGATCAAATTTATAAAGGGACAAAGTGTCGCATTATTAGTGATCCTAGAGATCGTTTATAATTTTGTATTGCTGTATGTCTGTCTTCGTGTCTGTCCGTGGGTATGACAACTTTGTTTAGAAACGCCCGATCGCTTTGAAAATTGGCACACAATATTCTTAAGGATATAAGAAAGGTCGCTATTGTTACAAAGAACATATGAATGTCTGGTTTTTTGTCTTAGTACACATTCTTTAAACCTCATGCAACTATGCAAATGAAAACGAAAATTACGCATGCGCAACCCAACTTTTGTATTTGCGCATGCAATGTTTTAAAAGCGATGCTGATCTAGTGGGACAGAATCAACCCCTTAAGGTGTATTGTAAAATTTATAGATGCGTGAAGATCTCGAAGATCGTTCGGTATACAGTTGTATCAGATTGTTATCAATAAAGAATGATGACAATGTTGGATACGCAGTATATCATAGTGACTACAAGCTTAGATTTAGTTCAAAACTCTCTAAATACACTTCCATTTATTCGGCAGAATTGATTGCAATAGTAGAAGCGTTAAAATACGTCCTCAGCTTAAGGTACAATCGACTTATAATACTTACTGACAGTTTAAGCGCTATTAAGAAATTGAAAAATTTTGATTTCTACCGAAATAATAACCACCTCCTTAAGAATATTTTTGAACTTTATTTCCAAGCGCGCAAGCAAGAAAAAAATGTTATCATAGCTTGGATAAAAGCGCATGCAGGAATTGAAGGTAACGAAATTGCTTACCTTCGTGCTAAAGAGGCAGCAAACAGTAGAGATATTAGTCTTAGCTATCATATTCCTAAAAGAGATGTCATGGTGTGTATTAAAGCACACATATTAGAGGTATGGAATGCACAGTACAGGATGGGAACAAAAGGGCAATACTACAAACAATTAGAACCAAACTTACCTCAACAACCATGGTATAAAAATATCTCCAGCAGGCCTTTTATTGCAACCATTTGTCGATTGAGAGCCAATCATGGCAGATTCCCTTCACATCTACATAAAATAAAATTAGCAGACACTCCAATATGTTTGTGTGGTAGTGAAGGTTCAATGCAACACCTTATGTTGGAGTGTAGCAATCACTCGACTTTTAGAAATGAATTCTACACAAATCTACAAAAATGTACAGACAGACGGACAGACTGACGGAGGTAGACAGACAGTTCAAAATTATAGACGTTCTCGAGTATCGTTAATAAACGGCAAAACTGTAAAATTATGGTAGGTACATGAAAAAAATTGAGGTTTTACAATAACTTTTTTCGTAAGCGACGCAAAAAAAATCCTTCCTTGGCCCTTGGTGCTTGCCTCGACACCATAACGAACTAAATAGTAAATAGCGAAAAAAGTAGAAGAATAGCTCTTAATATAAAGAACTAGTAGCGATCGAACGCCGGTAGGAACGGACGGACAGACGGACACAATAGCACATTTTTTTTAAATTTTTGTGGAAATGCGCTAAAAAGGTAAAATACAATAATGGAATATAGTGTTTGAGTAGTCTTATTTTTTCAGTATCTTCATTTCTTTTAACAGAAATACCAAAATATGCAATGCATCGCAGTGTTCTGCAGTGTGTCGCAGTGCATCACAGTGCCCCGCAATGCATCGCAGTGTCTTGCAGTGTTCCCATTTTTAAGAACACTGCGGAGCATGTGTACAAATTTTTTCGAGTGAGAGACCCCTCGGGTATAATTATATTGTGTATTCAGTCGAATATGTGTTAACTTATATCAATAGTAAGATGTACAAGTCCCAACAATGACACGTGTAAAAGTGTAGAAACTTCTAACACAATATACTATCTATCTATCTATCTATCTACGAAGCTAAATAAGAGCGACGTGAATTTCGCGATTTGGGGCTTTGGGCAGTTTTTAAAAGATCGTTAAACAATTTTCGCATATTTGACGGAAAGTACGTCAAGATCGCTGAGGGAAAATGTGTTAGGTCCTGTGTTAAGAAAAAAATGCACAAAACAATAGAGGGAATCCAAAGCAAACCAATTTTCAATTATGTACCAATAAAAAATTGATCGTAATTAATAATCGTTTAAATTCGCGTTGGGTCATACACTCATACAGCAGTAGTTACTCCAATTACTACTTAAATTGTAGTCTCGACAAGAGACGCTTGAAATCTGACTGCTAAATTTTTTGCAGATATGATTACGAGGTATTGCTGCAAAATTCCACCTTTTGTTTGGTTCCACGTGGGCGTCGCCTGGGTTCATATCGTTTTCTCGAAGCTCTACAGGCTGGTTGCATTCCCGTTCTCCTTTCCAATGGATGGGCGCTTCCATTCGCCCAAGTAATTGATTGGAGTAAGGCCGTTGTATGGGCAGATGAACGATTGCTACTTCAGGTGACTGCGATTCACTTTTAGTTTTAGTTAAATTTTTTAACTACTAACTCTGAATTGTCTTTAGGTTCCAAATACTGTACGCTCCATTTCGCCTACGAAAATTTTGGAATTACGTCAGCAAACTCAAATATTGTGGGAAAAGTATTTTTCCTCGATTGAAAAGATCGTTTTTACTACATTAGAAGTAAGTATATAAATACATATTGAAATTTGTTTATATTTATTTATAATCTTCGCTTAATTCAACAAGAGTACTCACTAATTGGTGTTCAACTCAGTTCGTTCAGGTATAATGTGTTGTTTAATAGAGTAAAATAAAATAGAGACCACACAAATCATTTTATTATAACATTAAATTATCGATAATTGAAAGTGATTGTTTGAACCTTAATTATAATAATATTGACGGTTGATGTTAAAATCTCCAAGAGAGAATAAATTAATCACAACCAACAGAAGTATTGGCGAATGATGACTCATTAGCTACTATGGTGAAAAATAGAGAGGTGCTCCCCCAATTGTGAATCAATTTTGTGATCGTCAAACAAAAGAAAAGAGATGGCAAAAGCAAGTACAGTCTATCACACATCCACTAGTGGGGTTTTACGTTGTTTTTTTTTTCCAAAATCACTATCGCCTGGTTAAATCCTAAAAAGTGTAGAAGATAAATTGTAGAGGACTCAATATTCTACAAGAAAGTTCACGAGGGCATATGTCTACCCTTATCCTTCATAGTCTATTGTTTGACATCATGGTATAAATCCCAGACAATTGATGTAAGTTGTCTGCAGTTGGAAACACCCAAGTTTGGAGGGTAACGTATAGACCGACCAAAGCTGTCTACTCGAAAATCAAAGATTCAAATTCATTGACTGGTCTCGAAATGCGTTCTGTGTATGTGTGCGGCTCGGGTGTAATTTGCGCATTGATAACATTTACAAAGGATATATGTAACGCTAAGTAAGTGTATTATTTTACAGATAATTAGAGAGCGCCTTCCAAAGCAAACTCCAAGAGATGGAACAGTATGGAATAATTCTCCTGGAGCGCTTCTTACTCTGCCCCAATTCTCAGACTCTCCTCTACAGTTTCCATTCACAATGGAAGAAGGCGTGGATCAGTTTACCGCTGTGATCTACTGCCAGCTAGGTTCCTTGGTAATTTCCTCGTCTCCTCTTTACCGTCTTATTATCAGTGTTGCGCGTAGCAAATATGTCGCCAGAGTAAGTATTTTTGATCTACATATTGTTATTTACAATCTTTTCCCATAGATAATTATTGTGTGGTCTAATGACAAGACTCCACCTCCAAAAGGGCGTTGGCCATCTCTTCCAAGACATGTTCCATTAACGGTGCTGCAATTTTCTTCCGATCCAAGTAAGCCTAGTATTTCGCAAAGATTTTATCCACATCCTCTAATTCAAACCTCTGGAGTGTTGTCATTAGACGAAGATACCGTTTTAACGACGGATGAGGTGAACTTTGCTTTCAAGGTGTGGATGCAGTTTCCCGATCGGATAGTGGGGTATCCAGCCAGGTCTCATTATTGGGACGACGCCAAGGGTTCCTGGGGTTATACGTCAAAGTGGACTAATGATTATTCTATAGTTTTAACTGGCGCAGCATTTTATCATCGCTATTATAATATTTTATATACTGAATGGCTTAGTCCTTTGTTGCATAAGACAGTGGAACAAAGTCAAAATTGTGAAGACATTTTAATGAATTTTCTAGTTAGTCATGTAACTCGTCGGCCTCCTATTAAGGTAACCCAGAGGAAACAGTACAAGGAGCAACCTCCCAGTGGTGGACGATCGCCTTGGAACGATCCAGATCATTTTATTCAAAGACAGACTTGCCTTAATACATTCGCGGCTGTATTCGGTTACATGCCTTTACTCCGATCCAATTTACGTTTAGATCCTGTGCTCTTTAAAGATCCCGTGTCTAATTTACGAAAGAAATATCGTCAAATTGAACTGATAGGTAGTTAGTTGTTATTGTAATTACTTGGCCATTTTTAGTCCAGGAACTTTTAACAAAAAATATTCCCAAAATAGAACTAATGATGTAGTTGATTTTTGGTAGGGTGATGAATAAACATAAATAATAAATAAATAAAATATAACAAATTATTTCCCTTGGTGAACATTTGACATATTTATTTCACTTGATTGCTATACACAAAACCAATGTCTGATTCAACTTTTGTGCATTCTCAGGGAGTGTCTAGATAATCCAGTAAATACTTGGGAGTCCCTTATGTCTCGCGTTTATATAGTACGCAACAGAGCCATTTTTTCACATTTTATTTTTATTTTATTTGCTGCTTGTATTTGATATCAATCAGGTAATTAATGGATTACATGCTCCAGAACAGCATCCAGATGTCACTACGATCTTGCAGTATAGTATTATACATGTATCTCTAACATACATATTGTTATTCTATTTTTAATGTATTTTCTTATTATGTTGTGCAAAACAAAAGTGCGCGCACGCCATCAAATTTTTGATGTTCTTATACTGTAACAATGCCACTTGTGATTTAAAGTTGGAGTGTTTCATTTATAATTTTTTTAATTCTTCTTTTGCCATTAATCCACTATATTCGAAAACTATACAATAATCTGCTTCGGATAAGTCTTGGACTCACACTTCTCGCCTAGAGGTCTATTCATTTGAAATGCAGTGGAGAATTTTCAGAAAATACTCACTTTACCATACACCAACACCAAATCAAAAATTGGATTTACATCATTTAATTTTATTTTTTACCTAAAGTTCGTGGACTACTTTTAAGTGATTTTAGTAGAAAATTTTAAATTGTATTATAAACGAAAAATGCTCATTTAAAATTAATTGTACTTTTTCGATGGATCGCGCTTAGTTTTTTTTTGTTATTTGCAATTGAGGTAGCTTTATATGTTTACTATTTTGTCTCTTGTGAACGCGGACCGTTATACGAAACACAGGTACAATGACGAAGTTTATAATTTTTTTAGTGATTGTAGTATTTATTGTAAAATATTTTATACATGAAAATTATAAAGAGCAGCTAGAAACTGTGAGATTGGCTGCTATATATTGATTGCCTATTGTCTAAAGAGTAATTATGTATTAATGATAAAAATAATATTAGATAATAAAGCCAAAGTTTTTTATGAACATTAAAGTATTGTCATTCCATGTAATTTTTAATGTAGTGCGTAAATATCATTGCTGAATTTGTAGTTCCTCAATGGCATTATTAATTTCGTACTTAATGCTGGCGTTTGTGCCATAAAAGCAATAATCTTTTGTTGATCATGATTCATGACAATGCCATAGGTTTGTTCTTTGCGTGATATTGTTGACCAATCTAAATTGTAGATATGAGTCTTGGAAGCAGTGTAACCAATAGTCATTTTACATTTTATTGACATTTGTTATTTTTGATTTAATTTTATTTCTACGAAGAAAGGATATTTCCCTATTTTTACGGTTGTTACATCTATAAAAAATCGTATATATATATATATATTTCATAATTGTAAATATATTTTTAAGAGTAACAGTACTAAAAAAAAATAATTATTTGTTTGTCAATTCATGTAAATGTCATAGTACTGTGCTTGTATATTTTCTCCTATGTTATATTTTGGTACATATACGTACTTTAATTAAACTAATATTTTGTACAATTTTGTAAACATTTGCATACGTAAAATCATTGTAAACAATACAATTATATATATATCCATAAAAGTGCTGAAAGCTGTTATTTTCTTGGTAGTCTAGTAAAATCAGATAGAGCACAACTTGAAAAATAAAGGAGCTGAAAGCATATCAGTTATAGTCATTATTTACAGATTTGTACAGGGTGAGTCAACTATTGCGCGGAGTAACTTAATACCTTGAAGATAAGATTTTTCGGTAGAGTGCTTTTGTAGGTCCAAACTTCAAAGTAACAAAACTTCATATTAAAAATCTCACTTTTTTTAAATGGAACATCCTGTTTTTTCTGTCATCTTTTAGCTAAAGTTAGTGTGCATAATCCTTATTAAACTATGAAAGGAACTAATAATATCCTATCACGGGCAATGCTGTGCGTTGAAGCCTGTGGCGGCCATAATTTCGGAGCCAAAGTTTGTTTACTGTTTTGCATTTTCATGTGTATGCGATCCTTAAGTCTCGAAGTGTGCGATTAAAAACATTATTGAACAGTGGTACTTTGTAGTGCACGGAAGTGACAGCCGAAAAACACAGGAAGGAATGTCGTTTCACAGGGAATTATAGGTTACTTTTGGGTGAAATAACAAACTAATTTGTGCTTCTCTTTACGATCATTATTATCAATCCTCACTCTTTCCTTCTCTAACGTATAATCAATGATGGAAGGATGGTGTTCAGGAATTCAACACGGTTACTGTGGCAACCCTACTTTAAAGCATGAACCAATTATATGCCTTCCAAGCAGGAAAGCTTATGAACTGGCTTGAGTGAGTACCTATACTGGAATTGCATTGGGTGTAGCTCGAAAATTTGAATTTACATTCGTGGACAATTATGTTTTTAGTTTATCGTAAAAGCACAGGTCAAATTAAGTCTTGGCATTGAATATATTCAACGTTATAAATAATAGCAGAGTTCTTTGGTCATAGCTTTGTAGTTGTAGTAGTAGTATGTTTTTATATATAGAACATGATCATTGGATAGTTATATGAATGTTCAATGAACATGACAATCGTTAGCCGGAGTACCAGAACATAATCCTCAGTCGATTCCTGTAATTTTCTGCAGTTAGTAGCGACAGCACTAGATTATTAAACGAACGTTAGATGTCAGAACGATATTACTTTGGCAGAATTTCTAATTTAAAAAAACGTGCTGCGGTTATCTAATTTTGCAATAGTTATTTTGTTACGTTTATTTTATGGGTGCCTACATTTTATACATAAATTGCAACAAATATAACCGGTTATTGGCGTTTCCTGTTGCCAATTTTGCATATTAAAAATTGATTTTTGTCGATGCGCAGAACTGAGGAAAAAATAACCCATATAGAATATAAGCGTTTGTAGCTTCTTAGATTTAATGAAATACCGTAAAATTTCAATTTTTAATTTTATAATCAATAATGAAGTAATAAGTATGCACCCTGTTATATAGGCAACCCAAAATACTCGAAGTTCAGAAAAAACCATTGTATAATGTATATGTTACTGGTAATCTGTATGTCAGGTATCCTCTACAATTCCTAGGAAACGTATTGCAATTCCGAGTTTGTTTAGGAAATATTTATAAAATCATAATGGCTGGCCATTGTTATAAATTTGAGGTGCATTTACTTTTACAACTTAGAGGAAGAGAAATTACATCTGCCATTGGTAGGGGCTGTATAACAAATTTCCTTCTCTCAATTATATACACATTTCCTAGGGATTATATAGAATACCGGAATTATACAGATTGCCGGTAACATACCTATACCTACACCGAATTGAGTATTGACCATATGTACTTACATTTAGGTAAAGTGCGAATTAGGCTGCGTCATTTCCCACAGATTGCGGCTCCACTATAATAAACGGTTAGGTACGCTAACTTATGTTTTTGTGTTTTCCCCTCATTTTAACAAAATGTTCAAATATTCTTTGACTGATGTCCCAGTTTCAAGTAGTATACTTACCTCTCTGTTTTCAAATATGCTATTTATAACAATATTTAAGTAAACCGATGAATTCCAAATATGAAGATTTAGGTTTGACATATACGGGCAACCTGTAGAAAATGCCCCAGTAGGTACTCCTCATCCTAAGTGAATGTTGGGGCAATTCGCGAATGTCCTACAGAGAAACAGGCCGAGTGCAGCAAGCTCGATCCTATTGCACACTTTGCCTGATGCATTGGCCTTTAATTGTAAACCAGGTTTTTTTTTTTGTAGGCTTTTATTGGGATCACAGCCCATTTAGCCACATTACTTTAAACTTATATATACGAAAAGGCATCATTACATATAAACAAGGATTAAACAGGGACACACGCTTCTCGCCAAGAGGTCTACCATGGCATTTTATATGACGATACGGAGTACGACCTTGTGTAATAATAATAATAATAATAATAATAATAATAATAATAATAATATGTATTTCGTGTTTGTAATACAGGTAGTATTTTACACTTGTCAAATCAAAAACATTTAAAAACACACTTACAATTACATATTAAAATGATTGAAAGACATGAATTCTTCAATTGAGTAAAACGCTTTGCTAATCAATACTGGTTTGAGTTTTTTCTTGAATTCATTCAAAGGTGCAATTCTGAGACACAGAGGGAGGTGATTATACATTTTAGGTCCGTAGTAGTTCATGGTGTTTCGACTCTTGTTTAGACGTAAACGTTTTAAATTTAATAAATATTTATTACGGGTATTGTGGTTATGTGTCTCTTCTTGAGTTATATAGGCATCGATGTCGGTTTTAACTTGTGTTAGTGCATGGTAGATGTAAATACACGGAAGTGTCAATAAGTTATGTTCAATAAACTTCTGCCGTACGTTTTCTGTATACCCGAGGCCAGTGATAATTCTAATAATCCTTCGTTCGAGGATTATACATAGGGTGCAACAATTAAGGAAGCACATTAAGACAACACCGAACGCTGAAAAAATAATTGGGCCTACAACACTAATAACAGTTATCTTTTTGGTGAAATATTACAGTCGTATTTTGGACATCCTTATAAATTCTATTAGTGCTTCATAAACGATCAGATTGTTGGTGCACAGTAAGCTGGTAACGTTAGTGGGTAACGGCACACGTTCTTTATTTAATGTTTGAAGGAGTGTCACGCGCTGATTTTCGTATGTTGTGCAAGCTAGAATGATATGGTCCAAATCTGCCAATTCTTCACCACATGAGCAGGCTGGCGAATCTATAATTTTCATTCGGTACAGATGGGCTGGATAGCAACCGTGTCCTAATTTCAGTCTGAAAATTGTTGAAGAGAAGAACCTTGTCATGTTTTTCTTTTCATAGCAGCTCTTAAATTTCACGTTTCGATGTATATAACCATACTGTGTCTTATGCATCCCAATATACTCTTCCCACATTGTTTGCCATTTTTTATAAATGCTATGCCGGTGTTCAGTTATTAAATCCCCGACCGTCAAACAGTTCATATCCACAGCTCCGTCTGCAATCGATTTTTTGGTCAAATTATCCACAATGTCATTTTGTTTAATATTACTGTGCCCTTTTATCCAGTATAGATTTACATGAATGTCCAAGTGTCTTAATAGAGTTATCTTCTTTTTAATCTTCAATATTATTGGGTCGTACTTTAAAATGTACTTGGTATTCCCGAGCGCTTGTAAAACTGCTTTTGAGTCCGACATTATTGAAAGAATCTTATAATGTCGCGGAGCGTCTTCCAGGGCCTTTAAGATTGCGAAAGCTTCAGCAGTAAAAATAGATGCTTTGTCCGATAGTTTTATTAAGGTATTTTTCTTTGTGGAATCGTTATAGTATGCACAACCACAACCTTCAGTACTCTTAGATCCATCGGTATACACAATCGGACCATCGATTGTTGATACTATTGACAAGTGTATTTGTTCGTCGTGCTTTAGTACCCCGTTATAAGGAGGAAAATTTACATTAATGGGAATAAGGTTATCTTGGTAATCTAAACCTTCGAAGGTCCTATTTACATTTAGAAGTTGTAAATTAGTAACTTGTCTGAATGAGTCTGCGAGAATGGGACACGGTTTTGATGCTATGCCGCAAATCAGTTTTGAACCAAAATACTTAAACTTTACTGTAAAAATATTTAACAAATGTAACATATTTCACATATTGTTTCCTGGAAAACAAAAAAAAACACAGACAAACTTAAAATTTTTAAACACCAGTAAATTGTCAACGGTGATTTTTCCTTTGTTATATTTGTATATAGTGTTTATTAGTTATTACATACTAACGGTTATTATGTCAGTATATATACATAGTGGAACTCGACAATAGGTCATAAATAATGTCCTTATGGAAATACGGACCTTTTTTTGTTAAATTTGCGATTTTCAAGAATCAAATGAAAAATTAGTAAACAGCATCATGATTATTTAAAAGGAGATTCTTTATTTTGTGGACCCCTTTACAGTATACATTTTTACTTTTATCCACTAACATTACGAATTGGCGGTAGCTACAGTAATATTTATATTATTATTATTATATTATTATTATTATTATTATTATTATTATTATTGTATATTATTTGCTACAGATTAAGTATAACTGACTGGTGGATTTGTGGCATCTTTACTAACAAATATATCAAACAGTTTTTCTTAATTCCCACTGAGAAGGAAAAACTACGACTTCACTTTCAGAATCAGTCGATAGATTTATTCACTTCCATAAGGACTGCAGAAATTTGGTAGCCCAGCTAGGTAATGTATTAACTAGAGATGAAACTATATTTGTTTGGCCGGATACTGGATAGCAGATATTCGGCGAGCTGTAAGGCCGGATGGCCGGATATTCGGCCTGGGGTCACGTTGCATGGCGCGACGTAAAACGCGTCATCTGGACAAGCTCTAAATACTGCCCATATAATCGCACGAATTCGGGCGTGTTCACATGCACTATGAGTTATTCACCACAATTTACCACTATTAATTTTGAATATTAAATTGTGCTATTTTGTGACTTGTGATTGGCCTCATACTTTAATTTAAGCTAGTTATTTTATACGTAACTTTTGCATTATTTATTTATTTGCCTCACAAATATTACTTTCTTGCACTTTAATAAAAAAAATTGTAATCTTCGAATATC